TTGAATTTGCATTTGGCAGACGAGCTATGGCATTGTGGCCGTCTCCAGTGATGGGCCATGGCAGCCTTTTGTGCTTACTCCTTTGGCATTGCCATTTAAATTTGATATGTTTGTTGTTGTTACTGTTGCTGTTGCTGCTGCTGCTGTTGCTCTTGCTGTTGCTGCTGCTGTTGATTTTAAATTTGCAGCCATCTTAAGTTTCTATTAATTCCGCCAAGCGCAGAGTGCCTTCTACGAAGTTTATCGTCCTGCTTGTATTTAGCAAGGACCTGGTCCTGCACGCAGTTGTTGTACTCGAGCTGCAGCCATAGCTCTTAAGTGAACTGAACCGAAAGTTCTTAAATTATTGTAATTTCATGCCACTCCAGCATGCAGCAAGAAACTGCTGACAGACTAAGCACCGAGTGCCTGTCCGTCTGTGGCTCTGTCCTCGCTCCCGCTTCCCTCACTCGACTTAAAGTTGTGTAGTAATTAATTAACTTTGCATGCATAAGAAATGAAATACAAATAACTTTGACGTCTATGTACATAATCAAATTACGTATCTGTTTTTGCCACAAACGATGCTCAACAGGCCACTTCAATCTTGCTCAATTCGGCAACTTAATTCGTTGCACATATCCTTATTAGACTGACTTATGATAACACATTCACATACTTCGTATTACAACAGACACTAATTTGTGTGCAGAGGACTGCAATATGAGCACTCATCTGTAGATGGTTCACATTACTTGCTTTTCAGCTTACTGAATACCGAATAGTGCAGCATCCAATGAAATTGTCAATCAATAAAACATAATTAATTCGACTGTGGCCTAAAGCTAAACACATACATGAAACAGATAGCACAAATGAACTCAGAGTTATTTGGGCATTACTGCATAATAATGATCTGCATTCATTTAGTATTGATATTTACTAATTCCATCATTAAAGTATGTAATACAAATAACTGGAATATTTAATAAATGTGCTTCAATTTTGGGGCGAAGCAAAAAATGAAATTATTTCCTTTACAGTTTAGAGTTTGAAATCTCTGACTGAAACTATATATACTAAAATATATATTAGTGTATATGTATATATTATTGGCATAAGAATTCTATAATTATATCATAGAATATATATGTTCATGTTTGCAGAACAAACACTTTGCGATTTATGTTAATCGAAATGGGAAAAGTTAATTATTTAAATAACATAAATATTTTTGTATTTATCATGAAAGTTTAAAGTGTGAAAGTTTCTGTGTTTTATTGTGGCTTTTAAATATTTCGAGTCATATCTAGTTATTTATTATTATTTATATTAGCAATAACTAAAACAAAAATGCCATAAAGCTAAAAAAAAATCAAAAATGTTCCTCTCTTCTGAAAATGTGTGCTTGGCGTGTTTAATAAAAAAATTATAATGAGCTATATGTATATACATACAAAATATATTTTTAATTTAAATTGTGTATCAAAGTGAATGCTGAGCTCATATTAATTAATAATATTTTTAATATCTAGTTTTTTATTTATTTTATTTGCTCTTTTATTTATTTTTTGGTATTCATTTGATTTGGTTGAGATGCCATAATCGATTTTATGCAAATGATTTATTCTTTGCAATGGTTTTGCAAACACTCAAATCCATTACAGAATAATAATAATAATAATAAAATTCTAGATGTGGACCGTAGAAATAAGCACACACACACGCACTCGTTGAGAGTCTGTGAGTGCAGAAACCGACCCATTTTGGCCACAAATAAATAATTTTATTTTCTGTTAGAGATGCAAATGTTATGCAAACAAAGAAAACTTCCTAATGGAATTTCTCACATGTCCGACATATGCATAAAACCTTCTAAACAAACATTTTACCCACCTCGACCACCCATTGGGCATTGGACAATGGACAATGGGCAGAAAGCACTTCACACACATGTCAAAAACGATGCGGCCAAAAAATTGCTTAGCATGAAAGTGGCTCAAGTTTTGCAATTTGAAAGACGATAGAGCTTTGAAATTCAATGGCCGCCCAGTTCCAATCCCAAATATGTAAATACTATTCCCACATACACGTACATACTATCTTAGTATATGGCTGTGTGTAGTATATGGCTGTGTGTGTGTTTAGGGTAGCTTAGTTGCTGCTGCTGTAGGTATTTGTTGTTTTTGTGGTTAAGCGATGCTGCATTGTGGTTTTGGTGCACCAAGCTAATGAGTTTGTGGCTTTCGGGACAACGAGCATAATTGCTTTTAATTGCAATAAGCGAATTATTCAGACTTGTAGTTGTGGTCGACATTACCCCAGAAAATAAGCTCGCTGCAGCTGCGCGTTGTAATAAATATATATAAATAAATTTGTTTCCATATTTTAGCTATCTAATCTTTATATTAACTATAACTGTTGCAAACGGCATTCATTTCGAACAATAAAATTGTAAACTCAGGTTTAAAACAAATCAGAACGCTAAAATCTCTGCACTGCAAAGAAATTACTTATAGACATGCTCTTAAATTGACTCTTAGACAGCTTGGGCACTAGATTCATATTCCAAGTGTTACTTCAGAGCATAGCTATGACAATTATGCTATTTATATATATATATATATATATATATATATATATATATATATATTTATATATTTATACCAAAGCTCTTTTATATGATATACGTTTTTTTTCTTCAATCTAATGAACATGTGTTCAAAATCGGGAAGTTTCTTAGTCTATACACTCGTTATAAGAACATGCCTTTAAATTTTCTGTTCTTCACTAAGGTCACCAAGGTATAAGGTAAAGGTCTAAATAAATATGTATGTATATAAACTTATAGTGCTCACTTTAAACTGGAATACACACAAAGAGTTTTAAGAGAGCGACGTAGTTTAACGAAGTGATCTAGAATATATACATATATATATGGGATAGTATAGTATATAGTATATATATGTTAATTCTGCATCTTTCATATCTTTGCGCTATTTTATATACGATTCCCATTTTCAATGGTTTCAGGGTAAAAAAGTCCGTAAGAGAACTCGATATTTTATTAGGTAAATGTGGTATTTAGTTAGATACAGTTTTGCTTCACTTGCCCTCGTTTATCATGTTCTTTCAGAGTATGAGGCAACATCAATGTAATTGCGGTTATCATGCGAATGCACCTGTACCAAAACACGACATCTCTCAAATAGCTGGTATTATAAATTGTTACGCGCACTGCCTTATCAGATCGCATTTTAATTTCAATTTCGCTTCCAATTAGAAATGGTCAATTAGCTAATCAGGCTTTAAGTGCGGCCTTTAAGTTGCGGCACCTAATTTGCGGCTGAGGGGACGAAAACTTTTTGACAACGCTTGTTTGACAACTGAAACAATGGCAGAAAACTTTTGCTGCCATGCGAAATGCCAGCTGATAGTTTATCCCATCTTGGGCAGCTCCTATAGAGTGTGCCACAAGCATCGTTATGCCATTCTCCGAGTCGTGAGTAATGGCGCCTCAAAACGCACTCGCCGCAAAACATGAAAAGTAAAGCCGCTTTTGTCTGTCACTGCTAGCTCGAATGTTCGCGTGTGTTCGAGTACGTGTGTGTGTGGTGTGTGATTCCAATTAAAGAGAGCCAACGAAACCACAATAGGATTATCACATTTGTTGTCGGTAATAAATGGCAATAAGCAGCCAAATTGAATTCGCTTTTGTGTAGTTCAATCGAATGGCCGGGAGTATAATATTAAATAGGGTATTGCATAGTTTAGTTCAGCTTAAGCTCGAGCTCAAGCAACTTTCGTGCTGCATTTAATCGTTAATTTTAATTTCTAAGAAACTGTCCAAGTTGGCTTGGAGGAGACGCCTCTTGCAGTCGTTCATTATTGCTCCTTAAATCGGCCACTTTTAATTGCATTCATCAATCATGATGGGAGCAGCATCAAAGGCGTATCTTGGTGCAGCTTTTGGCGTAGCTTTATCTCCGACTGTCTCCAAAGTAAAAAATAATTATTTAAATTCGTGATTATTTGCAAGCGATTGTTCAGTCATTGATTTATCGTTTTCGGCTTAACTGCGGACAATTGAATCATACGAAATAAAGCCGAAATTGTTTGCATCGTAATTTCTTTAAGCCGCAGTATAAAACAATAAATGATGGAAAATGCATTTATTATTAACTTTGTCGTTGTTAATGTATTTTATAAATTTCAACCAGCTGCAAAGGGAACGTATTGCTTTTGTTTTTACGTAATTTACATGCATTAAGTTAATGAATTGCGTATGAAAGTTTCCCGACTAACAAATAAAATATATGAAATAAAATTTATATACATATAGGAAAGACTTTATACCAATTTCAGATTTTTATTATCCTTCAATTGTTGTCTTAACTTGGACTCAGTAGATAAGAAGACAAAGCCTAGATTGAGACCTTCACAAAGATCCAGTATTACATGGTTCATGGTTGATGCCTAATGTTTCTTTTTGGAACTTCACTTGCAGCTACTTAGTGCTACCAGAGGAAAAAGGACTTTTTAATGTTTGCTTCACATTCAACTAATTACGACATTTAGCAAAATATATCTGCATCCTTTAGACAAGAAACAGACTGACAACAAAATAAAAATTAGCCAATAATTGTTTTATACCACATCATACCTATATATTCGGACAACCATATCTTCTCTGTTGATTATGTAAATATTAGCCTAATTTAACTGGAATTACAGATGCCAACCATACATTTTTTATACATTGATTCGTGCTACCTGAAAAAATTAAATAAATATATTTTTTAGAAAAATGCAAAATAAAAACAATAAATGCGGAAATGTATCGTTAAGAGCTGTGTTAAGAACAATGTAAATAAAATTCAAATATATTAATCGTCATATTTGTATCAAAATATTTGCACAGCAGTTGTTCTATGCCCTGTAATGATTCAAAGTAGTTTCAAAGGTATATTGAGTTAGAATAAACGCATAGAACAATAAAAATCTTTTTATTTACATGATGCTAAGAGTATAAAAAGTTCCCAGATTAAAATTGTTTATATTCCTGGGATTACCGCCAGCATTCATACGAGCTTGATGAATGTTGGGCCATAGGAATAGGTTAAAATTTAAATGCATTTCAAAATGTGTAGCTTGCAGAATGATGTGAGTTTTGTGTATAGAAAAATGTGTTTCAAAATGTGTATCAACTAGTCGTCGGACGGACCTTAGTATAGCTACCTCTTTGTCGTTGTCGTAACTGCCGTTGCTTGAAATTGATGTTTATTTAAATTTTTTCGTGTTTTTGATTACTGTTAGCATACACAAGCGTCCGAGTGTTGTTATTGTATTTGCATTGCTAGTGTTTAACTAACATAAACACACGAACACCAATTGCCACACATGCCACTCAGACACACAGAGAGAGAGAGGGAGAGGGAGGAGGTCGCAACACTTAGTTCATAAACGTTGACAATTAATATAGCAAATGGCAGCCATTGAGCTAATTAGAAACGCTCAATGCGAATGTAAAACAGAAGCGGGAAATGCAGCCAAAACGGCTGCTCGGACTAATGGAATTATTTGTAGCAATTACATCGCACCCCAGGGTGTATTTGGACTCGCTGAGCCCACACGAAGCAAACAGCCGCCCCCAAACGAATGGGCAAATCGTTTTGTAAAATGTTAATGAAAATCACATGTCTGCAATAGTTTTGCAATTTTGAACCACTGCCTGGCAGCAGGGCAAGAAATTCGAAGGCTTGAAAGGCTTTAGGGTCAGATAGTGGTGCGGCCCGGCAGTGATGATCTGCTCCAGATAGATATTGAAATGCTCATAGTCCAGGTACTGCCATTTGGGGCACTTGTAGAGATGATGATGACCAGCCAGCTCATCGATGACCCATTCACGCTGCTGCGTATTGTGCATTTGAAGTGGCTTATGTAGCGGGGATTCGCTGTGTATGAAGTGCTGTGTCACCGTGTAGGATAGGCCCCCATTGACTGTGGAATGGACCGTGGGATTGGAAAGCAATTCCGCAAGCTCTGGCTGCGCTTGCTTGGTCTTCAGCGAGAGTATATACCATGCTGGCATCAGATTGAATCTTACGGCCTTCATTAGAAGCTCCGTATGTGCCTTGCGCGTCTCCCACTCGTACATCAGCCAACGAAAGGCGCTCAGAAAGACCTCCATCTCGGAGTTAACGGCGATGACACTAGTTGTGAGCATGTCATAGACTTGCTCAGCCTTCAGTTGCAAGTACTCCACTGTTGCCACGGCTGGCAAAAAGAACCGATTCACTCGAGTCAGCAGCAGGGATTGCAGCGTGGCCGTCGGATGGGGCGTTGCCTGCAGATATAGCTTGAAGGCCTCTCCCTCACGAAAGAACTCGATGTTTTCGAAACAGTACCACAGCTGGTTTATCAGATGAGGCATATTTAGAAAGCGCGCAGCGAGATACAACTCTATAATTTTACTGCGATGTGGTATCATATCCGGCTTGATCATCCATTCATAGGCCATTTCAAAGCCGGCCTTCGTTAACTGTACCACGTTGACAACGATCAAATTGGTCGAGGAAAACTGTTTAAAGTATTCTGTTGACACCTGCAGCACTGCCAAATGGCAATCGAAGGTGTGGCCATGCACAATCACCTTGACGTCCGTATGAATGCCATTTTCCACAACTTTGGCTATGGCAGCTCTCAGACTGTCTTGATTACATATTAGATTACATTTAATGGACTCGTCAAATAGAAATCCCATATCTATTAGAGAACACGGCGTAACATGCTCCAAGGTATCTGCTTGGTTTTCTTGGCAGCACTCGATAATCTTCTTCAGAGTTCTTACGTCTCTGCAAATAAGTAAGCGGTGTTTAAAGGCTTTCATTTCTTGTGTCGAGTCTACATACAACTTTACAGTTTTTGTATCAATAGCCAACGTGCCTTCTTCATCCTGCTTAATCGTTTCCTCCACGTTCGTCTCGCCCATTGTATAACTTAGAATTTTCTTTGTTTTATTTAGCCTATTTACTACACAGAATAAAAATCAATGCCCACTTGTAACAAGATACAAATTGTTTTAAACGTTGCTTAGGTGTATCTGCCGTCTTAGCACAATATTTGTACTATTAACAGCTTCATTTGCGGCTAGCAAATAAAGCCCGGCCAGTCCAACTACACTCAAACTGCATTCGAACGGCACCCAGGCCAAGCCACAACTACACGACTTCAAATCTCTAGTTCATTGTTCGTTTTTAGTACCAGCTTCTGCTTGAGCTGAAGGGCTTAGGTTGAACGGAAGTCGGGGCGATTATCTATGCAGGCAGCCCCATGTGCTGGCCGCCTCATCTCATATCAGGCTGACCACAAATTCCAGCTATTACAGGCACCGACTGTAAGCGGAGGCTGGCCAAGATTTTATGTGCCAACAACAAGCAAACTAGTTAACCAGTTTACCAGTTACCAGTTGGGCATTCGAGCATTCAGGTGGTGGCTAAGCGGGCATCGAGCCAGAGCATTTGCAAAATTGGGCTTAAGTCGCAATTAAGCAATTGCCAAACTATCGAGTGTGCTCGGATTGGACTAAGCTAAGCAAGCATGGGCAACTGCTCTCTGCTTTTCAATAAAGCTGCGCTTTACTCATCCGCCATAACTCTAGCTGCAGGAGGAGCAATAAATAGCGACAGCTAAGTGTGGCATGGGCTGCACTCAGGCTTCCCTGATTTGAATGCATTGCTCTGCATTTACGTGCTTTGGCTTTTTAGTCCAGTAACAGGCAGCTCTATACAATATTTAAAGCGCAAATGCTGCACAATGTTGGCCAAGTAAGCTCGAGCTCAGGAACAGCTTCGTCTCGACGCGACTCGACTCGCTGCTGGTATGGCAAGTGCCACAACTTGCGGCAGTCCACAGAAAGCAAATGGAGCATTGCGAACAAAATAAAAGCAAACAACAATTTTTTTTAATGCTCTGCAATAGCCAACTTCGGGGCTATTCGCAAGCGTTAAGGCAACTTTGCGGCGATTTTTTCTTTAAGTGGAAAACTTATGCCTTTGGCATGGTGCGAATGCGTTGCCCGCAATGAAGCTGAAAAAGTACCTAGCAAGCAGCGTGAAAGTGGCTCAAATAGAACCAAGCTGAGCTTGGCCTTAAGCACAATTTCATGACATGGCACACTTAAAATTTGCTATAGACTTAATTGAAATCGAAACTCAAATTTCAATTGAATTTCAACTTTAATGCTGCTGCACTGCCAAAAAGCCGAAATGATTGTCGACTCTATGCTCTGGCCAATGAATATCAAATTACCATAAACAATACAATTGAATGAGCAGCAAAAATATAAACATAAACTCGCACACACAGCTGAACTGCAATGGCCATAGACACATGTCTGCTAACTCACACAATCACACACATGCTTATATATGCAGAGGCAAACAAGCGCATGTTGGCGCGACATCAAAATGCTAATAATCAGCGTTATGTTCGCCCGTTTCGATATCGCTCATACGACGCTTGCTCCCGCGCTAATCCCAGCACGCAGCATCAATAAGTCAAACACGTCAATGGCAAGCACTGCCAGCAAAAGAGAAAAGAACCAAAAAAAACAACAACATAAAACAATAATACAACAGTGCAGAGTAAATAACAGGGACAACAACAAAAAAACATCAAGAACCACGATGCTGAGCCAAGCAAGGACAAAGACGAAATTTATTGTTGCTCAATGTCGCATTTATCATCACTTTATGCTACTTAATCGAGTCGTCGGCGTGCGTTTTTCTATGCCCTGTTTCCGTTTCGTTTCCAAAAATGTTTCATTGTTTACTTTTGCCTGTTACTGCGCTGTCTGTGTGCGTCAAGCACACGCTTATGGTTTTTCCAGCTCACACACACTCACACGCACACCCGCACACGCACACGCAGAGAGAAAAACACGCACGTGCTTAAGTATTTTTCAGCGTCTTTTTATGCTTTATGGCGCCATTGAATTCTTCGTTTGTTTTCTTATTAAAATATAATTTATATGTGTAGTCGCAGCAAGGACAAGGGCAAAGCCAAAGCCAGGACCAAGGCATCAATTGTTTAATGGAAAACGGAATCAACAATAACAACGAAAAGATATATGTCATCAGTTGCCAGTTGAAACTTAGCTCCTGCCTGTACACGTAAAGCCCGATTGACATTTATTTTCTTATTTATGTCCACGACTCAAGGAAATCTTTGATTTACGAAAGTCAGAGCCTGCCTGTCTCTTGAGCTATTTGACAGCAGGATGAGCGCTGCCTCTGCTTCATTCATAGAAAGTGTTATTTAACAATAATTTCGATTTCAATTTCAATTTTGAATTTCAATCAAGGAATCAAAGAACTTTCAGGAGAAATGCATTCAGCTAAAATATGTAATCAATATTAAAATCGTAAGCTTCACTCGAAAGCTTAGGCTTGTTTTCAATTTAATTTACCGTCAAAAATAAATGAAAATTTAGAATTTAATTCAAATTTGTTAATAATAATACATGTACAAATGCGTGCAGCTGTCAGCAGCAATTGAATGCGTATAAAATAAGTGCTTGCGGTTGATTGTAACAGTTGATTCAGACATATTTATTACATTTTTGTATTTAATGAATTTGATTGAACAAACTACGCGCACAGCATTTAAATAAATTTTTGCACATTTATTAGCGAGCTCACATCGTTTGCTAAATTCCTTATTTCTCTTTATTATTTCATTTTTAATCAAAAATATTCAAAACTCATTTTAACATAAAAGTGAGTTCTATGGCAAATACCAATTTAAAAAAAAAGGATTACATATTTATTTGTTTTTTGTGTACTTTAATTTACTTCTGAACTGAAATCTCAATCATCGCATACATATTTTAAGTCAAATATCCAATATTCTGCATTTAAATAAAAATTTTATATTTATTCTGAAAAATATAGCAACATTAGTTCTATTGTAAACGCCTGTAAAAGCAAATCTTTTTTCCGGAATGCAGAGCTTTATCTACGATGAATTCATATTAAAATTGTTACAAATTTACTTTATACGTTAAACCAAATCCGAGTAATAGACTGCGGCATCTAAGTTTATTTTGTAGAAAATTAAATCGAATTTAAAATAGATTTACATATCTCTCATGATATTTTTCAATCAACATTTACTTCAATAATAATAAATAAAGGTGCTAAAGAATGAAAAGAGTTTCTGTTGCAAGTACAGGAACTATTTATTATTCTTCACCTTCGATTCTATAAGAGCTTGAGTTTGTATTGAAAGTAAAGAAAATATTTGTTTTTCTTTACTTTGAAGTATACAGCAGCTGGAATTTATGTTTGAAATAAAGAAACTATTTTTTCTTTACTTTCACTTGCATCGGCGTACCTCCATTCAACGAGAACTCACATGCATTTCCATCAAGCTAGTTTGCTTCTATTTTATATGTGCTTTTAGATAGTAAAATAATCAAAGTATAGAGCAATATATGATGATGAACAGATAATGAACTCTCTGCGAGCAGACAAAGTAAATGAATAAAGAAAATTGCAATTCCGTTTGCAAATATTAACATTTGTTCTTTCTATCTGAATCATTTTGTGTATATATCAATAGTAATACAGACAGTGTCAATCACATGCCATAAATAAAAGAGAGCTCAACTTTTTTAATTATGTGAAAGGGCAAAGTTGCGAGCGTGTGAATCTGTTTATTAATCAACACTTTGTACAGAAATAGACAAAGTTGTAATGAGTTTATTAATCAACCATAAATTTGCACGCCAGTGTTGTGCTCAGCAGATTGTCATAAATTGTAATGGGCCACAGTCTACGAGCAGCAGATTTCGAGTGTCCATCAAGCATGGCCCAAAAGCTACAGCTGGTAAGTCAGTTGGTCATTGTCAGGCTTTAAGTGAAAGGCCATGTTAAAGCAGTGCACGCTGTTGTGATTGTGACTGGCCCAGCGACCAGCCAGCTAATTAATGTGCAAAGTGTCAATTAATCAATCAGTCGATCGATCAATCCTAGCACCCAACTGCGACGGACTCACTGAAAACGCAGTGCCAACGATTACCGACCAAATCCTCTAGTCAAAGGCGAGCAATCTGTGCACGAGTGTGTGGGTGTGTATTGGTGTGTGAGCGTGTGTGTATTGACAGGATAAATTCAATGAACTGTCAAAGCAGGCAGCTGCAAATAACTGGTGACGGCGGCAAACCGGTCAAAGAGTGCATAAACAAAACGTAAAGGGCAAAGCGAAAACTGAAAGAAAAGCAGAAAAAAGCAAATAATAAAAAGGAAACCAAATTGAAACGGAAGACGACTCAAAACGTTTTGTCAAATAATAGCAATAGCAAATGTATCCAAGTGGGGAGTGCCTTGCCCAAAGATGCCCTGCTTTCATTTACAAAACATGTACATTTTTCGTTTATATTTATACTTTATTCTGCTGATATTTATTTTAAAAATCATATAATATCATTTGAGAAAAGGTCTATGAAAGGAAAGAAAATTTAAATTTGATATGAATTATGGCTACACAATTATAGCATTTGATGTTTTCTATTTATGAAATTAGAATAAGGGAACTCTTGAATTTTATTTCTATTTACGAATTTTGAGTTTAATAATTCATGAATACTATTTCAAAAGAGACAAATATGGATGAATAGTTATGTTAGAGTCTTTCAAGTTAACCTTTTATACATGAAGATAAACATTTGAACATCTACACAGACCCCTCCTAGGGCCTTTTTAATCTGTGCAGGGTAAATATAGAAAAAGGGCGACAATCCACTGGCCGTTTCGTAGCAACAATCTAAGAGCTTTGTGTAATGAAAATGTTTATCTAATACTAATGGAGGCTGTGGGTGGGAGGGCCTTGACGCAAAGTGCCAACTAATTATGAGTAAATTATATATATACGCGTCCTCAGGCCGTTGGAATGTCTAAGTCGATTGAGCCTTGAACAAGGCCAAATAAATCGAAATTGCTTTATAGCTCAAATATTTAAGGAACGACTCGATTTTCAATCATTTCTCGTTTCGATTTAATTAATTGTGTAACTGGCAAATTG